ATCGAGTGCCTTTTCCATTTCCAGGGCCCTATAGTTGCTGGGCACATTGTCCTCCTGTGTGCCCTTCTATCTCCAGAATGTCCTGGGAATCACTCTGTGTGTAGGTTTCTACAACCTGTGTTATTCGTGTCTGTTCTTGTGTTTTTGTTTCTTTGAGGGAGGGGTCAAGTCTCATCCATGTAGTTCCACATGTAATAAATGTTGGTTGAATGAAAGATTTCCCCATGCCTTGTAGTAGACGTGCTTGGACCATGGTGGTTCATCAGTGTGGCAGTGGAGTCCCTTAGCACTGAGGATTGGGAGACCTGTGACAAGGGAGGTAGACCACACAAGCCATGAAGCATCTAGGGGTGACTGCAGTCTGAATGAGACAGGACTCCTGGTCCTGTGGTGCTCCTCAGAGGTTTTCAGAGACGGCTTGGAAGCAAGAAGCAGGTAAATGCAGTGTAGCGTGCGAAGCGTTGCAACCTCCTACACACACTGCTCTGGGTGCCTCAATTAACTTGGACTGTGGGGGTTGGTCTGGGAAGTTGGCATTTGGGTTGAGTCTTGGAGAGCATGCAGTTGCTCACCAAATGGAGAAGAACAAGGAGCATGTTTCAGAAGGAGCATGTACCACACTCAGAGGTAGAAATTGCCATTTTTCGAGAAGTTGCAGTGGAGCTTAAGGTTCAAGGGCATTGGGGAGTGGGAAAGTGGCAGGAAATGAGATTGGAGAGGGCCATGTGTGTAGTGCTGAAGGACTGGCCTTCGCCTGGTTAGTTGGCTGTGAGGAACCATTGGAAGTTTAAACTCGGAGGAATGACGGAGATTCACATTTTAGAAGAATGCCCGGCAGCAGTGTGGAAGGTGGACTGGGAGGGAAGGCTAAAGAGAACAGACGAGTTGGGAGACTGCTGCGGAGTCCCGATGAGTGCAGTGAAGGGCCTGGGTTAGGCCTTGACCGCGGAGATGTGGCGGAGGAGACGAAGTTGCGTGTGATGTTGGGAGGCAGAATTGGTGTAATATACTGGAGCTACAGATAACAGTTGTGGGAGGGATGGAAGAAGAGAGAAGGAAGTTTTTTTAACCTATAGCCATTGAATGGGAGAGTAGAAACGAAGCACTGAGTTTGGTTCTGGACGTTTTCGAATGGGGCACCCAAATGGAGAGAACCAGCAGACAGTTGGAAATGTATCCACGCATGTGTGAATGTGTGAGATTATATAAGGAGCGCTTGCTGAGAGAGGGTCATGCAGAGGACTCCGGAACACTCAGCATTTAAAGGGCACACTCAGGAAAAGAGCCATTTAAGAACAGTTTCAAAAGGAGTCGTCGTCCGTAAGGTCAGATGCCACCAAGAGGTCAAGTTGAGATGAGCGGGAATACGAGGCCATTGAATTTGATCAGTGAGGGCAGCAGAGTGAGACCCTGTCTCAAAGACAACCACAGTAACAAAAACAAACCTTTTCCAAAAGAATTTGTTATAAGATTTTTCAAAATACCAAGCACTGTTCAGTATGTGTGAGTAGGGGAGATAAATATACATAACATAAACTTTACCATTTAATCATTCTTAAGTGTTTTTTAAAATATTAAGTACATTCACATTGTTGTACAACCTTTACCACCATGCATCTCCAGAACTTTTTCACTTCCCACGATGGAAACTCTGTATCCGTGAAACAGCTCCCCATTTCCCTCTCCTCCATCTGCCGACAACCACCATTCTACTTTCTGTCTTCATGAATTTGACCACTCTGGGAACTTCATACAAGAAGAATCATACAATATTTGTCCTTTTGTGACTGGGCTGTTTCAGCACAGTGTATTCAAAGTTCATCCCTGTTATAACATGTCAGGATTTTCTTCAGTATTTAAAAATGTGATTTAAATACAGTTTTTTTTTTTCCCCCAAAAAACCAACTATTTAGAACCATTACAAAGTCCTATGATCTGACATACCAGTTTTACACAGGGAAGGGTATTAGAAGAAGGGAATTCACATTGATCACAGGAATCCAGTTGAGCATGTGTCAGGTGCTACTTTGGCCTCAAGTGTTAACTCACTGAATCTCCGTAACTCTTCTGTGAGGTGATACTACTGTTTTTCTCATTTTGCAGCTGAATAAACTGATTTTCAGAGAGCTTGCGTAGCTTGTGTGCACGGCTACACAGCTGGCAAGTAACTGAGCCAGGACTGAAATCCTGATCTTCCTGATACCCAAGGCCATGCTCTTTTTAGGACCCTTCAGTTCTCCCTGTGGTCCTGTCTCTAATTATATGATTCTAAAGGAGTTAAATCTCTTTGCTTTGAATTTAATGGAGTGCTTTTTAAGGTTTTCCTGGTGACATTAAACCACTCTTATTTTGTATCTAACCTTTTAAAAACAGAATCAAACATTTGCCAAAAGTAGAGAATTAATTGCATAATGAATTAGTTCAGTTCACATAGTTATTTAATGTTGTTTGATGCATTTGTCCAACTTAATACTTCTCTGGAGTCGTTTGCAGAATCAAGTTGATAGATTTGTAGGACAGATTTCAGAAGGAAACTACTTTTCTTAAACTAAACTTATAGTTTCTGTTCTAATCACAAATAAGAAAGGGAGAAACGTTTTAAAATGAAATAAACATATAACTACTCAGTTTTGAGTCTCTCACAAAAACAAAATATTATGCAAGTAATCTGACTATAGTATTTGAAGCCAAAAGCCACAGGCTGAGATTTGCCATGCTGAAGGGGTTTTATTTTTTTTAATCTACAAATGTTTCTTTGAATTCTTGAATGCTCTATCCTGTGCCAGTGAGACATTTTTCTTTAAAGATCTAAGCAGTGACTGACATATCACTGTTTGAGCAGATGATCCTGAGAAAGTAATCAAAGCCATTTACAAAACAGGCGTGTCTGTAACTTGGGTCCTTCATGGAAGTAAGCCAGTAGACTTGTGTGTTGTTTGAAGACAGGGCTTATCTCTGCATCTTTGTTCAGTGTTTTGCTTTGAGAGCACCACTGACTCTGAGTTTCATGTGCGCTCTCTGACCAATTGCGAGAGAGACCCAAAGTCTGAAGTTTGTGTTCACTTTAGAAAGTCATTCTCTGAAGCCTTTTTTTTTGGAATGAGTTTAAAGAAGGAAGAGCACCAAAAGCCAGGTCCAGTCTTGTAGTAGATGTTTTGGAAAGAAAGGATAATGGTTCTCTGGGACCTTGAGAGTGGATCAGATTACATTCTAAAGTAATGATGAAAACAAAGAACAGTAAATCAGAGGGACTCTAACACATCCTAAAATCTTCCCTCAGGCAAATAATACCAAATCTTTGAGGGTGGATAATTGTTTTCTCTCCATTTTTCTTTTTCCTTGCAGATTGACAGAATTAAAAATTTGACAACGCCTATCAGTGGTTCATTTAAGTGTTTTGATATACAGGTGATTGGAAACTATAAAATCTCTTTTGCTTCATTTTAAAGCTGTCATCTTCCTAGGGACTGCGTAATTTAAAGGCAACTGCATAATTAACGTCTGTGGTGAAAAATTTCTGATGCTAAAAGTCATGGACAAAAGGGGGCATTTGCCTACCCAGTGTCAAGGAGCTTAAACTGTAATCTGACGTCCATGCATTATTATTTTATTCAAAAGTAAAGGGAAGAAGAATGCTCAAGATACAGCAAAGGATCTTTTTAAAGTATGCAATTTATGTGACTCTTGCTGAGTCAGATGAGTGGGTGATGCTGGGCAGAGCTGAAGGAAAAAACTGACATTCAGCAAGGAATAAGAATTCATGCTAAACAGCACAGGAGTGAGGCTGAGAATATGCTCAGGGAGAGGGTGGTGGTTGGCATATTTGTCCCTTCCAAAACTCACGTTCACATTTAATTCCCAGCGTCACAGTATTGAGAGGTAGAGTCTTTAAGAGGTGATTGGGTCATGAGGGCTTTGCCCTCATGAATGGATTAATCCACTCATGGATTAATGGGTTGTCATGGGAGTGGGGCTGGTGGCTTTGTAAGAAGAGGAAGAGAGAGCAGAGCTAGGACACTTAGCCCCCTCACCATGTGATGCCCCGCACTGCCTGACGAGTCTGCAGAGAGTCAGCACTAGCAAGAAGGCTCTCACCAGATACCGCCTCTCTGCCTTGGTCTTCCCAGTATTGAGAACTGTAAGAAATAAATTTCATTTCTTTATAAGTTATCCAGTTTCAGGTATTCTGCTATAAGCAACAGAAAATGGACTAAGACAGAGAGGGAAGCCTCTGGAAGGGGGAAGCCTGGTGAGTTCAGCAGCTAAGGAGAAAACTTTTGACCTGAAAGGACTAGATCCGGGACCCAGGTGAAAAAAAAATTTTTTTTTTGGAGACAGTCTCCCTTTGTCACCAGGTGCCAGGCTGCAGTGCAGTGGTGCAATCCTGGCTCGCTACAGCCTCCGCCTCCCAGGTTCAAGCAGTTCTCCTGCCTCAGCCTCCTGAGTAGTTGGGACTACAGGCGCACGCCACCACACCCAGCTAATTTTTTTGTATTTTTCAGTAGAGATGAGGTTTCACCATGTTGGCTAGACTCAATGTGTTGGCCTCATGCTCTACCCGCCTCGGCCTCTCAAAGTGCTGGGATTACGGGCGTGAGCCACTGCGCCCGGCCGTGAAGGACTTCTTTTTACCTTGGGGCTTGACAGTGTGCTCAGCCTGGCTCTAGGAGTAGAGGTAGACCAGCAAAACGAAAAGGACTGACTCCTAGGAATTGCTAGTCAGAGGGAAAATAAAATAAAATCATGGAAGGCTTAGGAGATGCCTTTTTAATACTTTAAACCAAGCTTGTCCAACCCACGGCCCACAGGCCACATGTAGCTCTGGACAGCTATGAATGCAGCCCAACACAAATTCATAAACTTTCTTAAAACATTGAGAATTTTTGGTATTTTTTAAAGCTAATCACTATGATTAGTGTTAGTATATTTTATGTGTGGCCCAAGACAATTTTTCTTCCAGTATGGCCCAGGGAAGCCAAAAGATTGGACACCCCTGCTTTAAACCTACCATGATAATTGAAGACTATGAGATTATTGTGTGTAAAATGTAGTCCTGATGGATAGCATTTGAATTCCCAAGATACAACGCAGTAATTTTTTTTGGTTTTCATAGCAGAAAATTTTTTGGTGCTTTTGAACAAACTTCAAGTCTGTTATTTACTGCGGAGTACCAAGTAAGAGATTCTCATTAGCAGATAAGAGAAAGCACAATATCATGTCTTTACAGGAGAAAACTATGTATTTCATTAAGGTAGGGTGACAAAACCCAAGCGTGAAACCTCTGAATGGGTCTGGCAGGAAGATACCCTATTTTACACAGTATTCTGTCCTTACATAAAGTTGTTCTCTAGTTGGCATCTCTTAGAAAATGGCTGGATTTGACCCACTTAGTTAAGTAGGTCCAGGAGGGGCAGAGACTTGGAGCTTATTCATTCATTTTGGGAGGAAGCCTAGAATAGTCAATAGTTCAATAGTATAAAGGTATGATGATAGTATTAGGTGCATATCCTGTAATGTACTTGGAATCCTAAAAACTGGGGTAAGTCCGAGGTAAGGGGTTGCATGACTCCAATTTATCCCTGGTTTTTGTCTTCATTGTCTGCACTGCTGTTAGGTTTTGTGAAGCCTTTGTCTTCTCTAGTTAAAATTGGAGTAGGAATTATTCCTTGATAAAAGGCCGCACCTCAGCTAACTTTCTCACTCAGAATATATTTAGTCAACATATAGCTCTTGACACATACTAAATACAAGTACATTACATGCTTTTGGAGATACAAAGATAAATCGGGCAGACTTTATTCTTAAATTGTCTCATGTAATGGGGCTGGAGGGGATGGACCATCATTTAATGGTTGAGAACTGGGGTTCTACAGTCAGACCCAAGCTGATTCAGATCCTGGTGTTGCAATGTACCAGATATATAACCTTGGAAAAAGCTACTCGATCTCTACTAAACCTTCCAAGGCGACTTAGAGAGTGGGACGTCCGGCTTCTGAGCGGTAACCTTTGTTGCGCTAACGACGAAAAAGAATTAAATATGGGTGATGTTGAGAAAGGCAAGAGGATTTTTATTCAGAAGTGTTCCCAATGTCACACCGTGGAAAAGGGAGGCAAGTACAAGACTGGACCTAATCTCCATGGTATCTTTGGGCAGAAGACAGGTCAGGCCTCTGGATTCACTTACACTGAAGCCAATAAGAACAAAGGCATCATCTGGGGAGAGGATACACTGATGGAATGTTTGGAGAATCCCAAGAAGTATATCCCTGGAACAAAAATGATCTTTGTCGGCATTAAGAAGAAGGGAGAAAGGGAAGACTTAATAGCTTATCTCAAAAAAGCTACTAATGAGTAATAATTGGCCACTGCCTTATTTATTACAAAACAAATGTCTCATGACTTTTTTATGTGTACCATACTTTAATAGATCTCATACACCAGAATTTACATCATGAATGACTGACAGAATATTTTGTTGGGCAGTCCTGATTTAAAACTAAGACTGGCTTGTGGTTAAATGAGTATGTTCAGTTTTTGGATTTTAATAGTAATTCCAATTTAGTAAATTCTATCACTGTTTACCCCTTCTAAAGATATGATTAGACTTCGTTAGTAATGTTAAATTTTTTGCAAAGATGGTGAGTGCTATCTTAAAACTTACTGGAGATTGGTTTTATATTTAGATTTATATAACTGGTTATGTGAATATATTTAAATATGGGGGAAATTCCTTCACTGTCTCAGAACCAACCAAGATTCACCTGTGTTTTGTGTTCATTTGCCTCTTAAAGGCAAGGGTTGAAGATAAATGGGTAGCAATGGCTAATTTATATTTTTGGCCTAAACTATGCCAATCTAATTAGAATTTCCTGTATTTAAAATGGTTCCTTTTACTTATTAAAAGGCATTTTGTGTGGTTTATGTGTAATATCAAAAATTATTTAACACTTCACACATTTTATAGATGATCTATAAGGTCACATGCTTTTAAAATAGTAGCCTATTAAACTTCACTCTCGGATTCTTTACAATATAAGTCAAACTAAGTTATAATTTAGGATTGTCTTTAAACAGCCATTCAGAAACAAAACTGTACCACTGCTGTGTATTTGTGATTGGGAATGGTGCTTTTGCCAACTTAAAGGGATTAAAGTAGAGGAGATATACACAAACTTAAAAATGATGTGTGATCATAAGACTTAAGATAATTAAAAAGAAAACCACAGATCAAAAAAAAAAAAAAAAAAACCTTCCAAGGCTATATATCTAGTGCATGTTAACACCAGGATATGTATAGTGGTACTTATGTCATAAGGATGCTGGAGGCCTACAAGATCATGGTTGTAAAGGGTTTAGAAGGTTCTCCAGAGCATAGTGAGCCCTCTCTGAACACTGACAACACACACAGATGAACAGAGATGCTTTATGGACCCAGAGGGTTCTGACTTTCTTGATGTTCGGTGTTAGAGGTATGGCTTGGGGAATTATCTGTATTGGAAGCAATCACTCAAGACTGTTTGACACTGGATGACATTGCCAGAGGCAAACAAGAAACAACATGGCAGACACAGAACCTTGTTTTTTTAATTCACAAAAGTGGACTGTATTTTTTTGTTTGCTTTGATGTTTTGTATTACTTTATTTATTTATTTATTTATTTATTTTGAGACTGAGTCTCGTTTTATCGCACAGGCTGAAGTGCGGTGGCACGATCTTGGATCATTGCAACGTCTGCCTCCTGGGTTCAAGCGATTCTCATGCCTCAGCCTTCTGAGTAACTGGGATTACAGGTGCCCGCCACCATGCCTGGCTAATTTTTGGATTTTTAGTAGAGATGGGGTTTCACCATGTTGGCCAGGCTGGTCTCAAACTCCTGACCTCAAATGATCTGCCCACCTTGGCCTCCCAAAGTGCTGGGATTACAGCCGTGAGCCACTGTGCCCGGCCTGTTTGTATTACTTTGTGGTAACTCAGCTGTTAGGGGAGTTGAATCAGATTCATCTGTTATGAAGATGACTTAAATCATCAATTCTTTTACTATACAATTATTGAGTATGTTTTCACACCCATTGTGGGTTCCAGTGCTAGACCTAGTTTATCAGCGCTGAAAATAAAGCAAAAACTAAGCCACATTGGTGGTTGGCTCACAGACTTAGGAGTTTGGCTGGCTGTTAAAAATAGGTATCTGTAATATTGGAAGGTTTTCAGGCAAAATGAATGAAACAGCCAGATAATAATTTGGTAAATAATAAAGGAGTGATGGAGTTGGATTTCCTTAGCTGACTGTTTTGCTCAGACATTGTGGTCTCAACTTACTTAACTTCGCTAAATATTTAAATAGATTACTGGCCTGGGATGTGCTTTGTTCTTTAAAAATAAAGTTATGTAGGACCGGGCACAGTGGCTCATGCCTGAAATCCCAGCACTTTGGGAGGCCAAGGCAGGTGGATCACCTGAGGCCAGGAGTTTGAAACCAGCCTGGCCAACATGTTGAGACCCTGTCTCTACTAAAAATGCAAAAATTAGCCGGACGTGGTGGTACATGCTTGTATTCCTTTCTCAGCTACTCAGGAGGCTGAGATCGGAGAATCGCTTGAACTCAGAAGGCGGAGGTTGCAGTGAACTGAGATCGCGCCACTGCGCTCCAGCCTAGGAGACAAGAGCAAAACTCCCTCTCGGAAAAAAAAATTATGTAATATTTGACATATACAAAAGGTTTTATGATTCTGTATAATTAATAGGACATTATCAACACACTGAAGCTACCGGATAAGGAAGAGCTTTACTCATTTTCTGCATTATTATCGCTTGCTAAACATACCTTGGTTAATAAGGAACTATTTCTTGAATGTCACCTCTGTGTCTCCTGCCAAGCATCTGGTGGTGAGCTCGGAGTCCTTTTTGGCCAATAGGCTCAATATTTGGGAGGGGAAACCCGAACAGCAAAGTAGAGGTGTGTGAGGACAGGATGGGCCCTGCCAGCATTTGTGTCTGTCGCTTCTAACCACAAAGAGAATAATGACTTGAGAGGGCAGTGCCTGCTGCTGCAGTTCCTCCTTCCCAATCTCAAGTAAAGTCCTCTTTTGGAAAGCTGTTGCCTACAGACGTGTATAGAAAAGGATTCTGGGAAGTGTAGTTTCCTTTAACCAAATGCTAACAGTACAAACCATAGTTGTGCAGCTAAGTATACTATTTAGCTTAGCTAAGTAAGTTTAGACTTAGCTAAGTCTTTACTGTACTTTTTGTTATACTGGAAACAGGAGAGATATTTGTAATTATTTCTGCTTAAAAGATCAGAATAGTTATTTACTATTCTGATATCAGATTTGTTTAAAAATAACACTTAACTTGATTATATCATTATGTTCTTTTCCATTAAACTGTAGCTATTTTTAAAGCCATGAAATAACTTTAAAAACAGAAGTAATTTAATCTTACCCTCGCCTTTGGAAAGAAAATACTCTTTTTTTTTTTTTTTTTTAAATGAAAGCAAGTTTATTAAGAAAGCAACGGAATAAAGAATGGCTACTCCCTAGGCAGAGCAGCGGCATGGCCTGCTTGACTGAGTATACTTGCAGTTATTTCTAGATTATATGCTAAACAAGGGGTGGATTATTCATGAGTTTTCCAGGAAAGCGGTGGAGATTTCCCAGAACTGAGGGTTCCTCCCCATTTTAGACCATATAGGGTAACTTCCGAACATTGCCATGTCATTTGCAAACTGTCATGGCCTTGGCAGGAGGGCCTTTCAGCATGATAATATATTATAATTAGTGTATAATAGGCAGCAAGGACAGATGACCAGAGGTCTCTTTGATTGCCATCTTGGTTTTGGTGAGTCTGGCTGCCTTCTCTACAGCATCCTGTTTTATCAGCAGGGTCTTTGTGACCTGTATCCTGTGCCGACCTCCTGTCTCATCCTGTGACTAAGATAATGTTCTTTTATTTTGACAAATCAATTTGGATCTCATAGAGCTAAAAAAAAGTTTTTAAAAAATATTATTCAATACAGTGCCATCTAGTGACCAATCATTTACTTGCTGGTTATTGAAAATAGTTCACTACGTGTTTTACGTCTTGATAAATCGGGAACTTCACCTCTAATGGTGCAAATTCTTAAGACATATTTTAAGCGACTATTTCTAAATAAATCAAACATTTGTAAATAATTAGAAAGAGAGATAGAAAATATTTTTTAACCCTCAGGTTTTATTATACATAATATATAATGTGTCTATTTGCTTAATGCCATGTGGACCCTGGAGTAAAATCAGAATCAGTGTTTCATCTAATAAGATGATCATAGGATTGTTTTGGAAATGTGATAAAAAGGAATGAACGTGGCTTTAAAATCGGACAGACATGAGTTTGTCTGTTTGCCCTTATTTTTCTTATGATTTAGCAGGTGATTCTGCCTGGAAGTGCTCCAAGCACTGTATATGTACTGCTTTAGTAAATATTTGCAAAACTCTGTAGGTATTTTACAAATGAGAAAACCAAGGCGAAGGACAGGGAAGTGTTGTGCTCTTCACTGTTAGTTTTTTTTTTTTTTTTTTTTAATTTTATTGAGATGGAGTCTTGCTCTGTCACCCAGGCTGGAGTGCAATGGTGTGATCTTGTTTCACTGCAACCTTTGTTTCCTGGGTTCAAGCGATTCTCATGCCTCAGCCTCCCAAGTAGCTGGGACCACAGGTGCCTGCCACTGTGCCTGGCCAATTTTTGTATTTTTAGTATAGACGGGGTTTCACCATGTTGGCTAGGCTAGTCTTGAACTCCTGACCTTGAGTGATTGGCCTACCTCGCTTCCCAAAGTGCTGAGATACCTCATTGTATTTTGACTGTGTTTATCTGTTTCTGTAATAAAGAGTGCCCCGTAACAGAGAAGGTCTTACTCAAGAATATTGTGTTTTTTTCCCAGCATACATTATAGACTGGTATGTCTGCAATTCTATTAGATTTTTTTCTCCTTTTTTTGACACAGAGTTTCATTTTTGTTACCCAGGCTGGAGTGCAATGGTGTGATCTTGTCTCACCACAACTTCTGCCTCCCAGGTTCAAGCAATTCTCCTAACTCAGCCTCCCGAGTCGCTGGGATTACAGGCATGGACCACCACATCCGGCTAATTTTTGTATTTTTAGTAGAGACTGGGTTTCTCCATGTTGGTCAGGCTGGTCTCGAACTCCCGACCTCAGGTAATCTGCCCACCTTGGCCTCCCGAAGTATAGGGATTATAGGCGTGAGCCCCCGCCCCAGCCCATGTTTTTTCTTCATCCATGAAGTGAAAACATAATACCTTTGACAAGAACAATAGTACATTACATTGTTTTGATAAAATACTGTTTTCTCTATATTTTCTTCAAGAGTGAAAAAGATATGTAATTTTTTGTGAAGGGTGTTATACGGCACAAGCACTAAACTAAGCAACTCTGGGTTCTAGTCTCTGCTTGGCCA